ACTATACAATGATTGATAAGCTAGGTGATAAGGTCAAAGGAACAAACTTGATAAGCGCAGCCTGGTCGGTGAAGTGCTGCAGGCAGCCGATGTTTCCAGATTTGAGTGACGCAAAATGGCGAGAGCCTAGCCCTTAGGAATCTATTTTCGTTGCCGGCGAGGCTGGCTCTGCTGGTGGCGCGTGCTTGCCGCAATGCCGCTAACCTCTATTTTCTACGTTTTTTTTTTGGAGCACCTCTATTTTCTACGCGGGCTGTTTGAGTTTAGAGTGTATCCAAACAGCCCCTCGTATAGGCCTGTCTATCGAACGGGGCAACCAAACGTCCAGCGTTTGCATGAACGAGTGGGCCTAGCGAGGCTGGGACGGGCCAGGCTGAATGTCGTAGAGGATTCAGCCATTCAGGGGGCGGTAGTTGAGGGCGGCGGTGCGACACAGTCGAGGGAGGCGGCGCGCACGCGGCGCGGGTCGCGTTCAAGTCAAGCACATCCCAGGCCGTTGCGGGGGGATTTTTCACTTTTACCATTATTACGGATGGCGCTTTCCGGTTTGGCACTCTTAGGGCTGGTCTTTCAAGTCCATCACTCTTAAGATTGGCCTCTTGCCGTTTTACCACTTTTTCCGACGTGGCAGTCCAGACCATACGACCGACATCGCCGGATCCGTGGCGTCGCCCACACAGAAAAGACGACGCCGCGCCCTTTTCATTAGTTTTCTTTCGGCCACTCATTCATAATATGTGAATGATCAGTTGCAGTCCTTTATCATTTTGTGATTGTTCTTGGTTAATGACAGCAACAATTTGGAGATGGCAAAATTAGCATATTATGAATGACAGTCAAGGATCATTGAAACAACAACAAATAAACAGACTAGAGCAATAATGCACATAGGCATTACATAAGTTCATGATCCTGGCATTAGATAGTGGCTAACTAAGAGCCATTACATAAGTTCATGATTTTGATGTTTTTCACATCCAAATAGGGCCAAATGCTATCAATTTTGTGCCCATAACACGATTACATGACAAAGTACTTCACACAAAGTTCAAAATAACAGATTGGTCACTTGGCCCTTTTTGCTTTGCCCTTGCCATTCCAATTGCCTCCTTTCTTCTTAGCTGGTAGAGTTTTCTTCGCTTTGGTTGCCAACTTCTTCTTTTTTGGGTGTCATTTTCTTCACAGTCCAAAGATGTAGCTCTTCTTCTAGGAAAAGTGCCTGTCATGGAACAAAACTCACAAGAAGATTTATGGTCGTGAATAGTTCCAATCCAATAGCCTAAACAAGATTGCATGATCACCTTCTTCTTTGTTCTTTGCGACTATAGATGGATCTGGGGCAACAAAGGCTAAAGGGATCGATGGACCTACTTCTTCTTCTTCAAATGTCGCTTCATATTCATTTGTAGTAGCCTCATTTAATTCCCTAGTCTGCTTTATTCGCCTTTTCCCTTGTCACCTTTGCAAGTAGTTCAAACTTCTTCGCATCCCCTCCTTGCTCTTCTCTGCCTCCCCTAGCCAGTGCTCCCCTTGTCCTTGGAGTGGGTGCATCATCACCATCTGCACTTGTCTTGGTCTTCTTCCTCCCAACCTTGGCAATCTTCTTCTTAGTTCTTTTCCTGCATAAGTTAATAAGCACTTGTTAGTTTAGACAGAAAATAAAAGGTTAATGCATGTTACATCTTACAATGAGAGGGCACCTTTTCTTAGTCCCATTGAGGGGACACTTGGAGCTAGTAGCCCAAACCATACTCCTTCTACTTTGGGCACTTGCACTTGCCTAGTAGCTCTCCTCCTGTCTCACTTGCTGGTTTAATCCTATTTATCCTCAACCTTCCAGGCTTTTTCTTCTTCTCTTTCTGTACTGGAGCATGCACTTTGTAGCCCTTCTTATCTTCAGGCCACTGATTCCTATCAGTTATGCTTGGTATTATTCCAAAGATAAGTCGCTTGGAACTTAGCCAACCGAGTAGCAATTGTCCACATATGAGCCCATGTCAGTCACCTCATGCTTGTAATTACAATCGATTGCATGTGGATATGGTTTACCAGTTAGTCGCCACTTTGCCTACAAGTGCAAATTTTCTCGAGGTAAGTATACAACATGTCTCCTTACATCTTCATCTTTGTAAACCTCTGTCACTTGACTTGAGTTGGGTGACCTTTTGTAATGTTCATGTGTCCCAGTCCCTAGAGGCAAACATTATTCACCAAGAATGACAAAGAGTAATATACCCGAGGCAAGGCTAGAGAAATCTTCCTTCTTTTGCCAAACAACACCATTATCTTCTCCCTTATAGCATCTCGCCATGCAATGCAGAGGCGTGTCCTTATATGCTCCTTGATCCAAGAATTCCAACTTTCACTAGATTGTTGTTTATGTAGTCACACTTGATGTCGGTGAAAACTTACTTCTTGCCCAAAGAAATGGATGGTGCTCATCCAACCACTTCTGACTCTCCTTGGCTTGCCCAACACCTTGTCAAAAAATACTTGTGCTTGTGTGGAGAGTATGCTCTAGCTGCAGCCACATGTTCTTGCCATATACATCACCACTATAGTACTTCTTCATGTTCTCCATTAAATGCAGAAACACTCTCTCATCTCTCGCTTGAGGAAAAACACGACTTTACAAAGAGACTCTAACCCCTTGCATGCATCTCATGACAGATGGCTAGAGGATCCATTGGTCCAATTGCTTTTCTAAGTTGTTGCATGAACCAAACCCAATTGTCCTTTGTTTTTTTCAAAGAACCCAAATGCAAGAGGAAACATCCAATTGTGTCCATCTAAAGCTAAATTATCAGCTGGCATGTGGCCATTCCACATGCCATTCAAAGTCATTGAGTCCATACTAATATAAGGCTGCAGCCATTTCACAAATCCATCTATACATGCTTTGAATGCACGTAAAAATCTCATCGAACCTAACTTTGCCTTCTTCATCGGTTGTAGTGTCTATCTCTACCCACACTACCAGTGATCTCAATTCAATTTCAGCCTTAAACCTATACAACCAATCAAAAGAATCACCGATCTTACCAAATAACTTGTCGGATGCTCTCTTTGTCCCTTTGTACACTTTGTGTGGTAGTTGACATCAATCCCATACTTGAACTTCAACTCTTTCTTCATTTCAGAGGCCCCCATTCCCGGCTTCTTCTTTAAGAATTGAACCGCCTTTTTCTCGCTACCCATTTGATATTGGCCATTGTTATGTCCTCAACCCTTGTTGTAGATGCACACTTGTGCCCCCAATTTATTTGAATCGCAAAAAATAGAAAACATGGTACATTATAGTTAGGAACTGATGACTATAATGAACTAAGATCAAGAAGAAACCAGCAATAATAACCATATCGATGAAGCAAGTCACCGCAGAAAATGTACCTGCAACTTCCATCATCTTTGGGTTTTACCCACAAGTCTCCATGGACAGCCACGAGCACCACATCTAACCCTCAGATCTATCTCTATCTGAGTGTTCAGTTTGCGGCTCAAACTCTTTTTTATAGCATGTTGCCTAACGGCTAGCCTCAATTCATCAATATTAGGATAGCAAATGCCAACACTCATATCGAGGATTGTCCTGTCCCATTCATTCATACAAAGGCTCCTCATCACCAGATGTATCATCAACATCCAAGCAGCCTTCATTCATTTCTTGGCGAGGGATTGCTTTGGAATTGGTACCTCTTCTCATACCACCTTGTTCTTGTGTTGCCTCAAATTTCTTTGGAACCCCATAGCCTCATATATCGTCATGTAGCAGTACCATCATCATCAGGGCTTCTCTTGTATGACTAGAGTAGTCCAATCAATTGCTCTGCACTTCAGGAGGAGGAGTTGGGGTGTCTTGCAGGTATCACCAAAACCCTCAACATCTACAGTTCTGTGGTTTGGTTCATTGCCACTAGTCACACCGAGACACACCTACCTCCCTTAGATGCAAAGCAGAGCTATCATTGTCATTGCACGATTTTTTGTTCACAACTTCCACATTAAGAAAAGCCAATCATCAAATTTCATCTATCCTTGACCATTTGTTTTTATGCTCATCCCTCCTAAGTCGCCACTCGAGCCAGGATCCTGATCTACAACCCACACTGAAAGTGTTTGAAGAGGCCCCCAAATGATCTTTGAGCTTAAATCCTCATGGAACCGAGCACCCCTATCAAACCCGGATGTGATGGTGCCTGCTCGACATGTCCACTAGCCCATATTCGCCATCGGCAACATATCGAGAAACCTTAACAACTAGCCTAAACGCCGCCAGGATCGATCCTAGCATCATGATAAACAATCAAAACAGATAAGCAAATACATTCAAAGGCCTACGATGGACGGGGGCCGGGAGTGCCAATGCATACCAAGGAGGCGGTCGGAATCGCCATTGCGGGACGGGGAGATGACGACGTACTACATCAAAGGCCTCGAGGAAGACGAGGTCACGACCTTAACCACGCGATCTTGCCGGGTGGCAAAGAAGAGTAAGGGCACATACCTTGATCCGTCAGGCGGGTTGAACCGAGGCCACCAGGACAATGGTACCAGTCGCCGCTGGTCGAAGCGGGCAGTTGGAGGAAGAAGACGATGGCGGGCGGCATGCTCACGCGGGGAGAAAGGGCGGTGAGTGGCAGCGACCGGGCAAGTCCGAGGCGGGCGGCGTCGTTTTTTCTGTGTGGGCGCCACGCCAGCGCGGTCGGACTGCCACGCCGGAAAAAGTGGTAAACGCAAGAGACCAATCTTAAGAGTGATGAACTTGAAAGATCAGCCCTAAGAGTGCCAAACCGGAAAGCGCCATCCGTAATAATGGTAAAAGTGAAAAATCCCCGGCCGGCCCCCGTCCCTCCTCCGCACGGACCTGGCGCGGGGCACGGTCGAGGACGGCGGCGCAGGTCTCGAGGACGAGGACGAGGACGAGGACGAGGACGCGAGGCGCTGGCGGTCTCCTCCCTCCCGCGCGGGCACCAGCGGCGAGTGGAGGAGTGGCGCTGGCAATGGCTAACGGCGTGGGGCAACAGCCGGTACGTTCTGCTGCACTTCTGCTCCACCTAAAATCTTGCCCGAGCTCCGCCACTGGCCATCCCCACTTGCCTCCCCAGATACGCTGCCGCCTCCTATCGCTCTCCTTCCTCCGCCGCGGCATCCACTCCTCCGCGCCAACTTCGGCCGACGCCGCTACAGATGCCACACTCCTGGGCCGCCTCACCCGCCTCCTCCTCCTCCACCGCTTCTCCGCCGCCGCCCGCCTCCTCTCCTCCTCGCCCCCCCTCACCCCTGCACTCCTCCACGCGGCGCTGTGCCGGGTCCGCCTCGACCCCGATGCCGCGTTGCACCTCTTCCGCCTCGCCCCTTCCCGCCCCTCCCTCCTCGCGCACGCCCAGCTGGTCCACATCCTCGCCCGCGCCCGCCGCTCCGCCGACGCCCGCGCGATCCTGGCGTCCCTCCTCTCCGCGCGGCCCCCGGCCCCGCCTCTCTTTCCGCACCTCGTCGAGGTATACAAGGAGTTTACTTTCTCCGCAGCCTCATTCGACCTGCTCCTCCGTGCACTTGCCAACGCCGACCAACTCGACGGCGCCCTCCAGGTGTTCGACGAAATGCGGACGCTCGGGTGCCGCCCTAGCATGCCGTCCTGTAACAGTATGCTCAACAGGCTAGCACAGACTGGGGACTTGAGCTCTGCAGTGGCAGTGTTTGAGCAGATGCAGAGTGCAGGGACTCTGCCAGACAAGTTCACTGTGGCGATTATGGCAAAGGCTTACTGCAGGGTTAAGGGGGTGGGGCATGCATTGGAGTTCGTGGAGGAGATGAGAAAGATGGGTGTGGAGGTGAACCTAGTGGCGTACCATGCGGTGATGATTGGCTATTGTGAGGTGGGGCAGACCAATGATGCAAGAAGGATTTTGGAGTCGCTGCCTGGGAGAGGTTTGTCACCAAATATAGTTACATATACATTGCTTGTGAAGGGATATTGTAATGAGAAGAACATGGAGGAGGCTGAGGGGGTTGTTCGGGAGATTAGGAAGAATAAGCAGCTTGTGGTTGATGAGGCTGTTTATGGTGCAGTGATCAATGGCTATTGCCAAATGGGAAGAATGGAGGACGCAGCTCGATTGCTGAATGAGATGATGGATGCTAAGCTCCAGGTTAATTTGTTTGTGTATAACACAATGATTAATGGATATTGCAAGTTGGGGAGAATGGTGGAAGCACATAACATTTTGCATGAAATGGAAGGTGTTGGTGTGAGGCCAGATACATACAGTTACAATAGCCTAGTTGATGGGTATTGCAGAAAGGGTTTGATGAACAAGGCTTTTGAAACATATGATACAATGGTAAGGAATGGATTCACGGTGACGACATTAACATATAATGCGCTCCTAAAAGGTTTTTGCTCGCTTGGCTCAATTGATGATGCACTTAGACTGTGGTTCTTCATGTTGAAGAAAGGTGTGGCACCTAATGAAATCAGTTGTAGCACCTTGCTTGATGGTTTCTTCAAGGCAGGTAAAACTGAGAAGGCCTTAAACCTTTGGAAAGAAACCTTAGCAAGGGGATTAGCAAAAAATATAACCACATTTAACACAGTTATCAATGGGTTGTGTAAGGTTGAGAGGATGCCCGAAGCAGAAGAGCTTGTTGACAGGATGAAGGAATGGAGATGTCCTCCTGATATTATAACTTACAGAACATTAGTTAGTGGTTATTGTAAGATAGGCGACATGGAAAGAGCTACTCGCATTATGAATGAAATGGAAAATTTAGGCTTTGCTCCTACAATTGAATTGTTCAATTCTTTGATAACTGGACATTTCATAGCTAAGCAACATGGAAAGGTGAATGATATACTCTTTGAAATGAGTACTAGGGGACTTTCTCCTAACACAGTCACATATGGAGCTCTGATTGCTGGATGGTGTAAAGAGGGAGATTTGCATACAGCCTATAACTTATATTTTGAAATGGTTGAGAAAGGTCTGACACCAAATCTTTTTATTTGCAGTGCTTTAGTGAGTTGTTTCTACAGGAAGGGAAAGGTTGATGAGGCCAATTTAGTGTTGCAAAATCTTGTAGGTACTGACATGATTCCAGATATCAGTGCGCCCAGACTTGAGATAGGGAAAGTAGCAAATGTCATTGATACTGTTGCTGGTGGAAATCATCTTTCTGCAAAAATCATGTGGAACGTTGTTATTTTTGGTCTATGCAAATTGGGAAGGATTGAAGATGCTAAAAACTTGTTTGCAGATCTAAAAAGCAAGGGGTTTGTTGCTGACAATTTCACTTATTCTAGCCTCATCCATGGTTGTTCTGCTTCAGGATTTGTTGATGTAGCTTTTGATCTGAGGGATAAAATGTTGAGTGTCAGTCTCACTCCAAATATAGTAACCTACAATTCTCTTATATATGGTCTCTGCAAGTCCAGGGAGTTATGCAGGGCTGTTAATCTTTTTAAGAAGTTGCGGACAAAGGGTATATCCCCTAATGCTATCACCTATAATACATTAATTGATAAGCATTGCAAGGATGGTTACATAACAGAGGCCTTTAAGCTAAAACAAAGGATGATAGAGGAAGGTATTCAGCCTACAGTGTTCACCTATTCTATACTAATTAATGGTCTCTGTACTCAAGGTTATATGGAAGAAGCAATCAAACTTCTTGATCAAATGATTGAGAATAATGTAGATCCAAATTATGTCACATATTGGACGCTGATTCAAGGTTATGTTAGATGCGGTAACATGATAGAGATTTCAAAGATTTATGATAAGATGCATATCCGTGGACTTCTGCCCACCAATGTGTCTGGGGATGTAAAACAATCATGTCCTGCTGTATACAACCAGAATAGGAAAACATGTCAGATGAAGATGCACAACCAGTGCTAGCACATTCTTAGCATGTCTACTTTTCTCTTGGAAGATGCCAGTGACATATGGTTTGTATGAGGAGGCAAATCATGAGGAATCATTTATATCTAGGCATGATATGGTAAGTTATTTTGACCTAGTGTTCTTATATATCTGCAACCTTAGTGAAATTATGTTTATATATTCATTGCTCATAGCACATTAGGTACTTTTAAAAATGTGTTTTGACTAACCAGATATAATACTACTCATTAACTAATTTGAAGATCAAAATTGACCAAGGAGAATCTTAGTAGCTTGTTGTTATTGGGGCGCTTTGTCAAGATTGAAGCAGTTCTAGAAGGAGCTGATAGAAATTCCAAGTCTGTATTAACAAGATGAAGGTAGCCAATTATCATGCGATACTTAAAGCACATTTAGAGTCTTTGATTTGATGTGTTATCTAGTGTCCTTATTTTCAATACTTAAATGCGATACTTAAATTGTCAATATTTATTTTGCTAAACCATGTGCTCAACAAGCAAGTGTCATGAGTCATTTCTCAGCAATAAAATTATCTTCTGCAAAGGGACATGCAAAAGGGCATATCGTGAGAAATGTTTGGGACCTCCCTTAGACGAAAATGGTTATTATTTCTTGTTTTACTTCCAAATATGTGGCTCTATATATGTTTGACATGGTTATTTGTTGAGTTTAAAGCCTAACAAATCTGTTTTGAACTCCCCACCCCTCTTCCCTGAAAACTTTGTTGCAGCCTTTCATGCTGTCTTTTTTTGTACTTAGTGTAATAATATTGTTAGCCTACCCCAACTTGTTTGGGACTTAAAGGCTTTGTTGTTGTTGTAATAATATTGTTACACGTGTTGCTGTACATTTCGCGGGAAGGGCTGTTGCATAACCTTCTAAATACTGTTCTTAATGCAGGTGAGCCAAAGTGGCATCTTCTAACTACAGGCTGGTGTGTCTTTGTAAGTTCAAAGAAACTCGTTGCTGGTGACTTCGTCCTTTTTTATCTGGTATATTCATACTTCCAGTATTCAAAACAGTCACTTCCTATCTTGTTCTGTCTCCTTCCCATCAGATGGTTTCTGTTTGGTTGATTTTTACATGTCTCATTGCCTTGTCAGGAATGACAACAATCAGTTTCTGCTGAGAATTTGCCGGGCAAATTGGCCACAAACTGTCGTGCCATCTTCAGTCTTATCAAGTGATAGCATGCATATCGCTCTTCTTGCTGCAGCTGCTCATGCTGCTTCGACAAATAGCCGATTTACAATTTTCTACAACCCAAGGTAGAACCTCTATAACCATTTATTTTTCAGGCGCTTTTCCTGTCAAATGTTTTTACATTTGCTTTTGCAGGGCAAGACCTTTAGAGTTTGTCATATCGCTTGAAAAATATGTCGAGGCCGTGTACCATACCCTTATATCTGTGGGGATGCGTTTCAGGATGCTTTTTGAGACAGAAGACAGAAGAGTCTAGCGTTACGAGGTAAGTTCAAATCTGTTTAAAATACCAACCTTGTAGGTTTTACTTTTAGAGTTAATTTCCCATTTTCCTACACATTGTCTACTTTTGAGCATTAGTTCATGCGCCAACAAGATCTTTGGTTTAGGCCATATGTCAATATACCTCGTTCCTTACACTGAATACTGAACTAGCGATTACGCAGTCATAAGTGGTAATTAGCAGTCTAACCAGACCAGATGTATTCAATTCCAGATACATGGGGACAATTACTGGAATCAGTGATTATGATTCTGTTCAGTGGCCAAATTCACTGTGGTGTTCTGTTAAGGTATATTATGGACTTGTGCTTCTCTTGTTTCCTCTGCTTACTACAAGCCCTTGTCAACCATATCTGTTGCAAATTTTCAGTTGAAAGGGATATTACTCTGGTACTGCCTTAAAGTTTGTTATCTCACAGATACCTACTCCATGGTTTTGCATGATCACAAAATTTACCCGTGAATAAATATTGATTGGCTGGGATGAATGAACTGCTGGTGAGAGACAGCCAAGGGTGTCACTATGGGATGAACTGCTGGTGAGCCTGTGATAACTTTCAATGTATCCATCTCCTTTTCCGCTCATGCTTGCATTCTCTGCACGGTATGAGGTGCAGAGCTAGCCTTTGTAGATATGTTAGCTTATTAAATAATTTTGCAATATGCATTCTATCTATCGCTTATAACCTTTCATGTGATGTCTATCCGTAGGTGGGCAGGACGATGACCTGGCTAACTCTCTCAGGCAAACCAGAAGGATAAATACGACGTGAAATCAGTGGTCAAAGGACCACTTTCTACCATCGAAGCTGTGGGAATATATAGCAAGCATAGGTTTTAGTGAATTATTGGAAAACATACTTGAAGCAACATGTAATAGATTAGCAATACTGCAGATAGCAAGTGTAGGTCATTGCATTAGAATTAACCTGTACATTTTTACCATGACGAGAACTACCTAATTGTACTGCTCATGGTCAGACAAAATGTTACATAGGCTGCAAAAGAATAAATACAAGATGCTTTGATTAACTCTGAATTTAACAGGCTGCAAAAGAAGAAATGTGTTTGAAGAACTGTGAATTTAATGCAATGTTAGTCATTAGATAGTAAACTAGACTACTGCTGAATAACTCTGAATCTGTCTGGATGAGAAGAGAAGGGTAGGTGACGTAGGTCAGGGCAAAGCATTATTTCAGTAACAATGACTCAATGGGACTGAACTAATACATTTTTTGAAGCCTGAATTGAGTTATTTCACAGCAACTTTGCACATGATCACATCACATGCACCGTTGGGACCATGGTTTTACTTTCGCAACGAGTGTTTCTGGCATCAAAGCAGTATATATAACTACATATCTCGTAAGCCAAAGCATTCATTCATCCCGTCCTCTCTAATAGCAGGATAAATTCGCAGCTAGCGAGGAACTTTACTTTCGTTTTTTTTAGAAAGAAACTGCAGTTTCGTTGCGATCCGTTATCCGTTCAACGTGTCACGTGATCGACGTCTCCCCGCCTTCTGCCGTCGTTCGCGCGTCACACCGTTGCCTGATCCTCTATGACAGCACGAATCCCAAAGCAGAAGGCCAAAACCCCGTCTTCCCCGGCTCCAGAATCGTCTAATCCTCCCGCTCCCGCATTCCCCATTGCACTCCGCTAGGGTTTTACTCCGCAGCCGCACCACGCCGCCGGAGCAGCGCGAGACCCGAGGCGAGCCACGCGAGAGAGACATGAGGCTCCTGACGCACAACATGCTGGCGTCGAACGTCCGGGGCGCAACCACCGGCTACCCGCTGACACTGGAGGTGACCAAGTGGTGCACCAAGGAGGTGGAGCTCAACGCCGACTTCATCCGCGGCCTCCTCCCCAAGATCGACTGGCGCGCGCTCGTCGCCGCCACCCGCGCGCTCGGCCTCCCCGAGCTCCTCCCCGAGGACCAGCCCCCCGAGGAGGAGATCTTCGCCGAGGGCGCCGCCGACGTCGAGGGCAGCGCCATCCGCCGCATCCACCACGCGCTCCTCGAGGTCCACGTCCAGGAGGGCTCCCTCGTCTGCCCCGACACCAGCCGCTGCTTCCCCATCAACAAGGGCATCCCCAACATGATGCTCCACGAGGACGAGGTCTGATCTGGCGTGTGTGTGAGTTTCGCCCTAGCCGCTTTTGTTTGCTCACCTGCTCGTCATGGTCTGTCGCGAAGGGTATCAGGGCTTGTGAACTTTGTACTCAGATTGTATCTGTGAAGTATGAATTGCAGTCTTGCAGGTTGGGGCCTTATAATACGATAGATAGCCGTGTGGTACTCGGACTTTCCGTTTTTGTTGGTAATTTGGTGAAAGAGGTTGTTATTTCTCAGACCTTACCCATGTAAACTCCAAATTGTGCACACCTTTTGGCATGGAAATTGTCGGTGATTCGGTGGAAGCCATTTTATCTGATCGATTTGGTGTTTGCAATTCATTCTGGTGGATCATGACTATAGGCCATAGCCCATAGACAGGTGTCTGTAATCTGGTTTCCAGTGAGGAAACTAGTTTTGAGTCGTGTAGTTTTGTGCCAAACTATAATGTTTTCTTGTAGTTGTGCTCAGGGAGGTAAATGTGTTGGAAGCGCCTGCTTGGGTGGTCTAGTCATATCACTCTGTTTTAGGATTCTGGCATTGTGGTTATGTTGCTGGGCATTCAGATTTGCTTGAGTAGGTTGGTGAATATAAATGTTCCCGTTGTTTGCGCAGAATTGAAGATATGATATTGCCTGACTGAAACTGTTTGATTATGCTTCCTTCCAAACTACCAGTTGGTTCTTTGGTACAATTTGTTATTTAACATGCTAACAAGCGTCAAGCGTCAATGCAGCACAAATCCTATAATGTCTTCTCTGCTCTGCATCCTCATCATTCTCAGTTTGTCATCATCTCTTTTGTTGGGAATATAAGTGTTATCTCTGTGCTCATGATCTGTGTATGTACTTAATGATCCATTTGAAATTGGGTTGAGATTACCAGCCTATGACATTTCAAGCATGTTGTGCTCCACAGCTTTCTTTGATAGTTGTTATATAATTGTCGGCATGACTATATTACAATTAACAGGCATGCTTTTGATGTCCATCAACAGATTCTTTAAACAGGTCACTCTTAAGTTATAGGGTGATATTTCTGATAGGGTAGGTTTTTGCCTTGTCAGCTGTAGCAGTGTGTTGCATTGACGAAATATCTGAATGTCATTTGACAATATGATTATGTCAGCAAATTTCTTTGCCTTGTGTTGTGGCATCCTACTTTTTGTTGGTAGAAGCCACCAAAATTCAATCATTCTGAGTTTGTGAAGAAAGATTTCATCTTCTTGCGTTGATCTTGTGATCTTTGGCAAATATTTATGACTAGATGGGGTCAAGAATCAAGATAGTTACACACCTATACTGAAATTTGTTTCATAAATGTGATCTGGTTACTGTTCAGATGTGCCCATTTTATAGAAGAATAATGTTCCGATTTCTGAACAATTGTGGTCTTTACATACAGTATCTTTGCGGCCATGTGTTGCATAGTATTTGCTCAATATGTCATGCAACTATTATTCTGTGTGTTTGATATTGAGTTGGTGCTGCCTTTAGAAACGTTGGTTTTTCTTAACGATGAAAACCAAATCTAGCAGTAGTCGACTGGTAAATCCGTGATGAATTTTCGCACTACCGTAGTTGTATTGTATATTTGTACATGGATCCACCGGTTCATGGAAGCGTCCATCAGTTAGTGACTGTTTTAGCGGTTTTAAAGGTTATTATTACTGTTCGATGGATTTTTGTCAAGGTAAAATCCATATGTACACTTTTATTTGTGTGTACCACTGAGCATATAAAAAAAAAGGAAAATACATACATATACATATATATGCTGGTGTCACGTGCATTCAGGCAGGGAAGCTAATAACCACCGTGTGAGCTTCTGCGTGCTACAGGTCCATACATGTAGTGTAGGTATGCTCGCGACAGGCAATGGGAGAGAGCTAAACAGGTGCAGTCATGATACGCATGTGCGCTTGTATATATATGTCCGGAATCGGCCGTAGAGCTCGTATATACGCCGGTCTATACCATGTATTTTCCGCATAATTGTACACCAGCCGGGCCGATGTGACGCAGCGCTGCTCGGTGCGAGGTCCAGAATATTCTAGAACGTTCGGGGATATACAACCGGCAGATCCGTGTACTGATCGCCAGCTAGCGTACATGCACGTTTATCAGCCGCAAGCCTCTCTGGACCGAATATACGTACGTATAGTAGGCTCTATAGTCAGCTGGGCCCATGCCTCAGTGACTGCATGTGAGAAGCTAATCCATATAAGTGCTGGCCCACTGTTCAGCCAAGAAAGGAGACGTTTGTTTGGTATACGGAATATAAATCTCCAAATATCTCGCTCGGTGGCAACCAACAAAGGCGGCGCGCGTGCATGCAGCCCAACGGGCTCGGCATTACCCTAGTTGTTGCCTATATAAAGAGCCCCGAGGACTCTCTCGAAGGGGATCATACCTCACCTCCACGCCGTCGGGCTGTTCTTGGCAACAAGAGCTAGAAGCACATCGCCATCCACCACTCCGGCGTTCAACCCCGGACCAGCAGACTAGCGCGGCGGCGGCGTAAATCTTCCGTCGTGTGAGTTCTCGAAGCCGAGAAGGCAAAAGCCACCAATGAAAGAGATGGCATACGCGTTCTTCCCCATGGGTAAGAAACTAATCTAGTCAATCTATTTATTAGTTCTTGTTTCTTTGCAATCTTGCATGGATGTGAGCACATCGGTCCTATGTCATGATTTGGGCCAAGAAGAGAGCGACGTGGGCGGTCCGATGATCGAGACGACGCTTGCACTTCGCGTCATGGGAATACGGAGCGCCGACGGCGGCTTTGGTCCGCGGCGTCGAACACGCTTGAAAGTGAAGGCCGAACGCTACCACGACATGAACTTGAATATGCAAGTTCTTTACCTACACACAAGCAACGCCAAGATGCAAGCAAGGCAAGGCTACGTGCATGTGGGGCGTGTACGAACCATGCATGGATGCATCTACACGTACATGCTCCAGATGTCTTTGAAGCCGGAGGCCACGCCGGCCTCCACAAGAACGCAGCGCCGCGATGCGACTCTCCATCCACTACTTCAACAACTCCAAGTGAACAAGTTCCACGGCGTACCACGACAACGCGCGTGAGGAAGTCTGATCCAATCCGATCTACACCAACCATGCAAGTGCGATTAAGATGACACCACGTCTTTGTTCGACATCGACAAGGCGGACTACTCGGCGGGCATGGTGATGTTCCACCATGTTGTACCGCTCATGGACCGACGAGGCCCTTACGCCGACGCCACCCACATCTACACCAACACTCTCTGCATGGAGAAGTGAAGCGAAGATTGAAGACGACGCGACCACAAAGAGCAGATCGGAGGTACTCGTGATTCAACTCACGGGGTAATTAACTAGGAGCCTTCCGAGGCCCCAGGAACCATGGAGACCACATCGCCCAAGTTAGATAGCCATCAATGAGCCATGGCGCGCATTCTTTTCTTAGGAATTTGTACTTGTTACTCGTGATGGTTAATAAGATACTATGTTTCATCTTTTATTTTTGTGTACTATTGTACACTTGTGCTTCCACACTTCCCACACGAGAAGCCACCAGGTGGATTTTACGGTGTCCAAACAAATTGGCACGCCTAATGGGACATGGTTCTCCTCCCATCTCTGCTGCGATGTGTGTCGTCGGATTTGTCTTCGCCTCTCCTCCAACAAGCACAACATGTCTTTGCATGACGGTACCCAAGGTGGAGTCTGTCCTAATGAATGGTCCCCTTCTTGTAGGAGGACCATCCGACGCAAGCAACCACCCACCAGAGTCCGCCATGATTCAGATTGGGCAATTCCTAGTGCCGATCTCTGGACCGATGGGAGCACGACTAGAAGCTGCTGACATCAAGCCGGCATTCCCCATGAAGGTCGAGAAGGTCCGCCCTACGGCGATCCAAGAAGGAGCGGGAGGAGTCCACGGCACCGCCAAGCGTTGAGACTCCGTTCTTGATCTCCTTTGGCACGCACCCTCCCAGAGAGGTCTTGAGCATCGCGAGAAGACCTACTTCCACCAAACACAAGACCCGGCCCTGTTCCAAAAGGTCGAGTCCAAAAAGGCGCAGAAGCGAGCCTTTGCTAAGGCTAAGAAGGAGCGTCGCAACCTCATGCTAGAAGCTCGCGCCCTCCTGAAGAAGTCCACCATCGAGGAGGTCAAAGGAGACGTCCATGCTGCACAACAACTACGCATCAAGGCAAACAACAGGCGTGCGAGTAGTGCAGCTCTCCAACCTCCCGCGTCGACTCCAGCCGAAGACACAGCCGTTCCACCTGTGGAATATGCGGAGGTGGAGTTGCTCGAAGCCTTGGAGGCTGTCTCGTGTGACCTGCGTCGACAAATGATGCATGCTCACCACGCGTCGAGCCCACACCCGCTACACAACTGCAGGAGGAAGTACCGCAAGGTACAATAACTCCACCAACAAGTCAGTGCTCGCATTGCGCGAAGCGCTGTTCTAGAGGAGGACTGGTCTCTAGACGTGAGAGACCTAAGTCGCAAGGTGTTCATCTACCCCAGCACGGTGGAGCCTCCATACAACTTGTTCCCTGATGGGTGGGCATATGAACCTGCCAAGATCAAGGAGCTTGTGAGGCACACGATCATGCGGGAGTATTGGAAGATGCGTCGCGCAAACAGGCAGCCCTACATCGCCGGACCAACCACCATCGTCGACAATAGCATCCCGATCCAACCGACTGGATGGGTGTCTTGCCTTCACGCGTCAGCGGCTAACGGCGCCTCCTCTCGTAACGCCAACAGGTTTGCGCCTCAAGCAAGCGAACAACCTACACCTCGCGATGGGAATGTGCGGGAGAGATCCGTCAATTACGAGACCAAGTGGCCGAGCTTGGGAGAAGGCTCCAGGCTACGCCGGGATCTTCCTCGGCTCGATTCAGGACTGGCCCGAAAGGCGTGCGCCGAGCCACCGTCCCCAACATGAGCGCCAAACCTTGGCACCACGTTGTCGAACTCCACCACCCATGCATCGAGGATACATGGCTC